GTGTCACCTAAGTACAAGTGAACAAACACAGTGACATATTGTACATCTAAAGATGAACCGATTCAAGCATTAAGCTTTACCACTGGATGATTTTTGCTAGCTGCATAGTGTAAAGGTGTCTGTCGGTTCAGATTCCTGTGGTTGACATCAACCTAAACAAACATCTAAAATACTCTATAAAATTATGGTATTTGACATTTCCTCCGTATAATAATAACGCTTCTCAATCATCAGAGGATAATTATAATGAAATGTGGTAACTACAGCTAGAGAAATAAGATTTCCGTTTTTCATTGACCATTTTCAATATTTCACTTTTTATTTTTCACTCATTTTCATTCTATTTGCTTAGCAATATCCATCTCCAAAATGTTCCGTTTTATGTTTTTATTGAGAAACAAAACTTTATTCTAGATGCGTTTGTCTCTATAGCAATTTATAATCGCTGGTAAAATCACGGATGCTGACTGATATAAAATTTCCAACCCTAGGCGGGAGTGGATCTCGCGTTCTGTCCGTTCACCACCATTACGTCAGTGGTAGCATAACGACAATATATGCATAGTCTCATTTGCTGTTTGCACTACATTAAGTATTGACTCGAGAACTCACGAACTGATCTGACATTTATGACTGAAAGCAACTCACATCTGAAAGTGAAAGCAGATATCGTACAATTTCAACTCGACCCGCAGATGCCGCAATCATCAGAGGCGTCCAACCCATCTGCAAGTGAACTGAACTTATCACTGAAAGATACACAATACCCCCACTATTTTCTCAATGCGCAGCAGAGTTTCTTGAACGTTTTTGAAACCAGTTTCGAATATGCTAACTAAACGGTTCAGATTATAGCTGCTACAACACATATCTTATGACCGTGAGTTTGCTGCGTTCGTTTCCAGCGTAGAATGTTGGGCGCATGCGGTTGTGAAGTTTCTGACACACCAATGATTTCCTGATAAATCAACACATTCATGACAACTTATATTGAAATAGTAGTTCATTTTCTACAAGATGCTTTTAATGCCGCACAGAATTCATGTCATTCTTATCATATCACACTGATAACGTCCTCACCACAAATCCTGGTCCAGACGTCATCGCAAAATCCTACTATGAAGACGTGAATGCTGATTCCGGACCAATCAAATGATTGGTCTTCCTTTTGAAAGATCATTTGAGGTCGCTCGATTCTCTTAAAACCTACTTCAATGTCTTTTCTTCTCAATAAGTGAGCAACTTGCTGAGGTCATCAGTGTAGTTTAACTATGACGCTGATCACACTGGGTCGCCCTGCAATGTTACTTTATCAAGTGGTCACCCAATTATCCTGTTATCACAGTGTCGGGAGTAACTTATTACTCGGCTTCGATTCCTTTATAGAGGATTATTTAACCTCGGGGGATCGGCTGAACCGAGGGAGGGTGGTACTGATAAGTCCAAATAGGACGAAACAGGCGCCTGTATACTACTAGATTTGACAAACATGTTATATCCTTATTAGATTTTATCAAATGGAATAATTAATAGTAGACAAAAAAGCTATTCTATCGTTGTACATCATGAAGTTTTCTCTTCATGCAGTTACGTAGCTAAATGCGCTCCTTCATTAGGTTACTAAGCTAAATTCCAAACTGTTTAACATGATAGACTCCATCCAGGATCTGCACGATGCATATCATGTGATCTTCATGAGAATCTTATAGATACATTCAATACGCGGATTGGACAATGTTTATGGAGACCATTATTCCGTTTCTTCTTGATTTCCAAAAGGCCAACGTGTGAAGTCCCCCATTGTTTCGCTGCTGCATATCCGCTTCATCTGCAGCCTTGAGATCAAGTATGATAAAAGTAAAGTGTGTGGTTGGGTGGTCGACACGACGAAATATTGTCTGGTGAATATGTGCTATACAATTCAGGCTTCTAGGTTTACCTCGATATTCTACGGAAAAGATTCTCAGTAGGAAAAGGCACAGACTAGTGATGGTGTTGTTATGTGGAAGAGATCTCTGAAGAATTTTTATCAGCCATATCTAAGGGAAACTATAGCTCGTTCGTCTCCATCGAGCGAGATGAAAAGTGATGAGCGAAGACTTCAATATATCTCTTATTCTGTTCTTTCCTCCGTCGACACTGATGGATATGAACCAGCATGGAACAGCAAAATCTAATTGCTTGCACATATCTGGTTTTTTTTTTTTTTTTTTTTGATAGCTCTTTGCTTCTATTCGATGAACTTTTGCAATTTCACCGTAGGCTTAGAGGTACATCAGCACAGATTTGAAAACTTTTCAACAAGTTTTCATCAAATCTTCACTTCAGCGATGCTTATGAAATGTGAAAAATGGATACCATTGATACGAAAAGGATAAAAACTCTCGGCGTTGATAAGTTCTTCAGAGATGCGCCATGCATTCGTCTTCATCTAGCATCGTTTGAGGTGATCGAATCGTATCTGGCTTTTACAATGACTCTAATAGCCTGCCAATGTATTTAAGTTAGTCCTGCTATCCCCAGGCAACTTTGACAGCCATTCACCGAGCCCTAAGAGGTGAAAGGCTTGGTGAGCCTTGAGCGCGGTCTCGATCCATCGACCATCGAGTGGTCGATCACGTGTGGACGTAACGGAGCACCTCTGAGCACTGTTACACAATCGCTCGATTACCACATAGTTTTTGATATACTTCTGGATGCTGAGAAGAACACGAAGGGCACGTTACGAAGATTTTGACTTCATGTTTCATGTCCGAACCATTCTCCATGTCGCATCGTCGATGCATCACACGACTTTAGATCCACTTACGTTTTCTTTTAATCCATTTTAAATAAAACTTGTCTTCTTATCTATCATATTAAATCCAGTTATGTCTACTGAAAATGTTGATTATTCCGTAAAGATCTTCATAAATACAGTCGCTGGAACTTGTGCATGCGAGGTTGTCTGCTTTGCGAATGAACTTCTTCCTCCATGAGACCATCGACTCCTGTACCAGAGACAAATCCCGCCACTAGTTGATCAACTTATCAAAAATGATGTAACGATCAGAATTGGTTCAACAAGACAGTGTAGGAAATCCATACAAAAAAAAAACGCAATATATAGAAAGAACACGATACATTGAGGATATGAAGGAAAAAAAAACGAATTACCGTAAGGAGAGAGAAATACAAGAGAGGGGGATAGCATCACGCCTATCTGAGCATTTTAGATCAACAATTACTAAGTACAGTTGAACCACAGGAGAAAGAGGTACAGTTCTACGAAGAGATTCGCGGAAGTGTGAGTCGTCATTAATGTGTTTGGAATAATTAAACAACAAAGATACCGTGTCCGATCGATCAGCAGCCGTCTTGTCTTGTGAAATTGATAACTCAAGAATTGGTAGACATCCTCCAACAGCAGCAAAATGAGGGGTGCTTCGACCAACATCGTCTACCGCTTCTAGTATACCTCTCACACGAGTCACCATTCGTTTAGCACCCTAAAACTAAAGGGAAATGAAACAAAACTCACACTCTCCTATCAAACTAAACACGTATCAATATTGACTAGATAAATCAGTAACATAGGATTTTCACTACTACTTAGTATTGAGAAGAAATTTATAAGTACCTCATCGTTTGACTGACGTAACAGCTCGGCGTATTCGTGCAGATCTTCCATTTTCACGGGATGACTATCGACTTCCATGACTAGCAAATTTTGGCGGTTTCAATTTCCCCGTAAAAGAAAAAGGAACGACAACAGAGATATTAGAGTTGAGATGATATGACAACTAGATCATTCAACAATAGAGTTGCTTGTTCTCATTTTATGGACATTATGGAATGGAAATTAAGACCATATATGATGAAAACTGTAAGGTACAATCAATCAATTAGTCACCACAACCAAAACCTGGAAAGCACCCGTTTTTGCAATATATAGTAAATTACAACAAAGTAAAGTATGAGAGCAATTGTGACCAGTATTTTATCGGTAAGCTCTCGTCGTTCATACTTGGAAAGAAGTTTGTTGCCTGTCTGAAATTTTCAAAAATCGAAGTAAAAAAGGGTTGTGAAGAAGAAGGAAAGGAGGAAAAAAAAAGGAAAGAAGAAGGGAGAGAGAAGTACGCTAAATGGGAACACACTTGTATGTGAGCCGCATGACTCGCAAATTCAGTATGAGTCTGAGCGAGGACCGAACTCGAATGCACCAAACTATCCATAGTTTGCTCACTTTGCGCTACTCGTTCGCCCATCTTTGACAATAAAGTTGATAAACGTTCTGTTGTCTACAATGAAAAAGGGGAACATCATGCGAGGAATCAATAAATAAATAAAACCAAAAGATTCTACTTTAGCAGCATCGTTTTTCAGAATCTTCTCGTCTATTTGTTGCGCTCTGTGCTCAACCTCTACCGAACCACCTTCGAGTAATGAAGTACGCGCTAGTTCATCTGGAAATTAAATTAACTACAATTCTGAAAAATGAAATTTTTTCTGGAAAATGTTAATTGCAGAAACTCGGTATTTTCAGTAAAGACATTACGCTATTTTTCAAAACAATATTATTTTGTCTACGTCATTTATATACGACTTATGAGGCTTTTCTCCCCAAGAAACTACATTATTTATTTATTTCATTTAAACGACCCGATATCAGAGTGTTTTCTTCACTCTGCAGATCCCAGTACTTCTAGCATTCGAATCGTTTTTTTTCTGTCTTGTTCCTTGAACGTCGAAAAATTTTGGTCGAGCATGTCTCCCTGCAATCTCGAGGACAGTCTGGCTGTGGCGTTCTATAGGACGTTCTTGCTGGCTGACTGCCCGAAAGTGTTATGGTAGAGCTCGGCTCCAGAGGCGCCGCGACGAGCATCACAAGCACTCGGCCACAGCGCCCCCAAAAAACTATGATGAGGAACAAAAATTTGAGTTTTTCATTTAGCCGCCTTTAGCAGTCGTATGATGTCACAAATATATATCGGACAATGCTGAGTGATAGCAAAACTTCAGACCTCAGAAGGGGAATCAAACCCTAGTTTCACCATTTTCGAAAGTGCGCGCTAACCAATTGCATTACCGAGGCTCCAGTTGGTTGCTGACAGTTCGAATCCTCTTGTTGATTGTGGACAGAACGATACCTTGTATCACAGAAAGAGTGATAACAGAACAAGAGCCTCGGTAGTGCTATGGTTAGCACGTGCCCCGAAAAGAACGAAATTCGACTTCGATTCTCGTCCGAGATTCAAAGTTTTGCATATCACTCATTATTACTCCCAGTCAAGCAACGAACGCCTTACAAAACGCTTGAGCTCAGCTACCTCCGAGATTACAAACAGAATCGTTTTCGACCAGTATTCATCGTTTTGAACAGGGTCATCCATAAGAGAAGTATAATTCTCATGCACCCTGAAAAGACGACGCAAAATATTTAAAGATTTTAAGGACGTTAAATGCAAGGAAGCGCTTCGGAAAGAGTGGACTTCAGATTCAATTCTCGTCCGAGGGTCGAAGTTTTGCATATCACTCAACATTTTAGAAAAATCTGACTCTAGAAAGCGAAACAACCACTACGAGCGTTACACATCCACCATGGACCGTAGATACATAAATAATCATCGATCATTCTAGTAACTAATAATGAAACGATTCCAGCAATTTTTATTCTTTCACAACCCATCATCATAATTAACTGTGCGAATCCCGACACTTCTAGCATTCGATCCGTTTCCTTGCATTCAACGTCCTAAACGTCTTCAAACATTTCGCGTGTTCCTTCGGAAGCCACAGGAGGATTTTATCCCCCTTACGAATCTAACGAAAACAATGTTCATGAGGAACGGATGGGTTTCTAATGCCCCATTCACGCTCAACGGAACGACAATCTCCGAATGCTCCAGTTACGTCTATCTAGGTCGTGAAATCAACATGATGAACGATCTAGCTCCAGAGTTGAGCAGGAGGAAACGAGCGGCTTGGGGAACGTTTAAGAGCATCGAAGATGTAGTGAAGAGGACAAAGAACATCCGACTCCGTGCCCACCTTTTCGACTCGACAATTATCCCTGCCCTAACGTATGCAGCAGAAACCTGGTCGCTACGTAAGCAGGATGAAAGATCACTTGGCCGTTATCGAACGCGCAGTCGAAAGGTCGATGCTAGGAGTATCCCGTATCTCGCAAATGAGAGAAAGGATCCGAAGTTCCGACCTACGTCAACGATCGAAAATCAGAGACGCCGTTCTACACGCCAGGATATCGAAAATAAGGTGGGCCGGACACGTGATGCGCTTCAACGACAACCGATGGACGAGAGCCGTTACCGACTGGATTCCTCGGGACGTCAAGCGCTCTAAAGGAAGACCACTGACCCGTTGGTCCAATTTCTTCACGAAAGCGATAGAAGAAAGATATGATGTTCAGCGAATCCCTAGAGCGAGGAGGACCCACTGGGCTACTCTTGCACGCGATAGGGAAAAATGGAAGAGTTGCTGGTACCCGCTCGAGTCACTCGACGATCAACGGGACGACAGGTAATACAGGTGATACAGGTGATGAATGACAGAAATACTGGTCGAAACGATTCTTCTGGTGATCTCGGAATTAGCCGAGCTCAGGCGAATTGTAAGGCATCCGTTGTTTGATTACAAGAGTGTTGAAGGAAGGAATCGAACGACCATCTTGCTTCCTGATCGTCTGCATCACTACCCACTCGGCCACCGCTCCTAACTCAGCGGTTTACACCTATTGAATACCTTTATTCTTGAGTCCGGCAGTGATCCTGTTTCCTGTGGTATTCAGATAGTCGGTCTCCATATATAGTGCGCACCAAGCCTTTTTTCCATTTGATCGTCTTTTGACGACAGCCCTCCATATTCGAGAGAGGTGGTAGAGCTTGTATGTCCGCTCGGCAGCATTCAGAGACTCCAAAGTGTTTATTCTCAAAGGCACCTTGAACGCCGGCCGAGGCTAAGCAAAGCTTATCCAGGATCCTGAGAAAGCTGAGCTAAAGCTCTCTTACGGCTTCTCTACCAAACAGTAGCCAGATCTGATTGATCACAGCAAGAAACCTCTTTCGAAACGGTGGGAATTGCTGTGAAATCAGATCTGGAAAGGAGCCAAATTCCCCTTAGTTTAGCTCATCATTTAGAAAAAACTAAATCAATAACACTTTTAGCGCAGAATTGTGACCAGTATATTATCAGCATTGTTGTTCACTTGAATTTGCCATATTCTTCCTCGAAATCTTGATGTGTATGGTACTTCAGATTCACACCATTCTTGTCACTATTGTTGTCTTCAACATTCTCGAATATCCACTATCATATGGAGCGTGTGGCGCAGTGGTCAGAGGTACCCCGCGACATACACGCGGTCAATGGTTCGACTACGTCAATCAACGCCGGAGACATTTTTTATCTTTGTCCTTCTTGGTAGGGTCTCTAATTATGTCGGAAATGAAGATAATTCTTACTCATGTTCTCTGATAAATTAGCACTATTTTAATTAAAGATTGACTGGCCTTTACTCAAATACTGATTTCCTTATCAAAGTACACAAACTTACTGATAGCCTTTCGCGCACAGATCGTCGCCGATCGGAACTGCTGACGATTTTCAGCCAATTCTTTGCCATGGCGCTCGATATTCTCACGACTATTCAGCTGTTCTCTTCTGGATGCCAGCTGAAAAATGGAGTAGTATTCAAAGAAAAGAGCACCACAGTTTTCATAGATGAATCGACAAAAATGCGTATTATTTCTGAATCGCAGAATTCTTAGCCAATTCAAGCAGCAGAGTGGGGCGCAAAATGCAATTACCTTCAATGTTATCGCTTTCAGTTGATTGATTTTACCCTCCAGCGACGCCAGAAGTTCCTTGAATTCCCGTGTTTCTTCATATAGAGTACGCTCATCACGAACGTTCTCCCTGTATGACTAAGATCAATGACTCATAATGCTCAAAAGCTCAAGACATTTTAAAAATATACTCATTTAACCCTTTATGGACGGTGCGCATCGTTTTCGATGCACCCCAGTCCAAGCCGATCGGACGGCGTACACAGACTGGTGCGCTTGCCAATATGAACCTGGTCACTTCGTGTTTTAAGGCAACATTGCTTTCACTAAATGATTGAATATCGCTGAAGAGACTTCTGTAAGGATAATCGTAGTAAAACAAACAACTATCCTTACTGAGATCTTTTCAGCCATATTATACCCTTAAGTGACGACAAATCCCCCTTAGCGACGACTAAAACATAAATTTCACCACAAAACCACCATATTATCACCGAAATGCACGCCACCAGCCGCTCTTCGCAGCCGTCCGAACAGCTCGCCAGTGGAGAATGGCCACCGGCCATGAAGGTCTAACTACTGCGGGACCATGTACCAAGCCCTCCGCGTATCCAAACTCCAGCGTGTACCGTCTAACAATGGCACGCTAAGGTTAGACGCCATCGTTAGACGCAACGCGCTGGAGGCCAGAGACGTGGAGGTTGGCCCATGGCTCCGGAAGGGCTAAACTCGGCTCAACCAATCACTAACAATTCTTTTTCTTGTGAATTAGCTGGTACCACGAGGCTGATAAATAAAATCTCTCCGGCTAAAGTCTATCATCGGTTCTGGAGAAGACGAGGACGTCAAAACGTTGTCAGGTAAGCCTTTATTGTAATCAACCTCATAGTATTAGCTAAAAAAAGAAGAGACTAGAGCTCATGGAGTGTGAAATGACTCCCACAAACCTAATGTGATCGATCTTTTGCTTCACAATCGTATCAAGTCGAACAATCTCTTGATGCAAGACTTGAGCTTCCAGAGTTGCACGATCCGTAATCGGAGCCATTTTGATCCATATAAAACACCTGTTCACTGAGTCTCAACTTTGGTACTCAACTTAATCATGTTCCTAAGAAATCTGCAGATAATAATGTGAAAGTTAACACTACACTGCTTTTGCTCGAAGATCCTTAATGCAGATATTTTATTGTTCCTTTGAAAACAACATTGAGCATCAAGTCCTATATAGCAAAACCTAAACGAATTATAACAAGAGCTGGACCACTGAGCTTAAGAAAACCGCTAGATTGAGCGAACTAATCAAATAAAGTAACCGTAGTATCCATCAAGTGGTCCATCAACATCGACTAGAACGAAAGGCAAAGGTTCAGGTGCCAAGCCTCAATTTCGGTTCAGATATCGAAACCGGCCTGCCTCATGCATTGTTTGTGAGCTTCGATCAGTTCTCCACAGTTCTCCTCACCATTTTCAATTATGCACTGGTCTCTTGCCTAGAAATTCCCATAGCATTAGCATAAAAGTCGCTCAACACTTAGAATGGGAGATATCTATCATTCGGAACAGAATTAGGTTCTTTCTGATTAGGAGGGAACACAAGAAAAACCGATCTCGTTCGCTGGAGAGGAACTTTTCACAGGAGTGTAGTGACCATTTCAAAGCGGAGACTTGAGGCTACAGCCCCAGTCGGCCAGGTTTTCCAAAACACCTTCATAACGCTGTAGCATACAGATCAAAAACTGTGTTGCACACTAGCCTTTCGCCTCTATGTTTATCACGCGTATAATTCGCCGGAAGCCTGAAAAGCACATCAATATGTAGAGAAGGTTTCGTTCTATCTTACTCAATCGTTTTATCTAGAGCTTCCTTCGAAGCGAAGGAGAAAATTCCTAATTGAATATCAATATATCGATCGTCCCGCCTGCTCTGCCCCTGCCACGACCCTTCGCCTTGTCGAACAGCCGGTAAACAATGTTGCCAAAAATGTAAAACTCAGTCTTATTTTCCCCTGCCAAACCGTAACTCCAGAAAATAAGCACATCCCTAGAATCAGGAGATATTACGCTTTCAGAAGATAACTGATAGTCTAAAGAAAGTACTGCTGTCCGGCGAGGTTCAAAGCACAAATCAAAGAACCAGAGTAGATCAAAAGAGCTTTCAAAAATCGAAACAAATCTTTAAGCTTCTTCCATGCATTTGCTATAGTTTGTGTACTAGCACTCTAAGGAAGGAGATTTGCCCAGCGAGCACTGGTTTATGCACATGATTTTATTTTGAGCTTTGCAATGTT